TATATTTCTTTTTAAATAAAGTTAATAATAGCACGTCTCAAATAATAAAAAAATAGATTATACGACATCTTCGCTCAAGAAAATATGGAAAAATAAAATCGTCTGCCAAAGGTTAATTTATCAACATTTAAAGGACAACTTTACGCTACAGAGCTAGTTAAATCTATTTTCCTTAAAACTATTAGCAAATTCTAATTATCCGCGCATAATTTAGATATAAAATAGAACGTTATGAAAGAAAATGTTCACTATATAACCTGAACGATATAGAACACGAATTTTATTTTATTTTAATCAGTCCTTGTTACACTGATCAGCAGTGAATATTCGTTAGGCCGCTACAATCACTGATAAGGATGACATCAATGCGACTTATTGAGCCACAGATATTAACTTTTTTCCTCCGACAAATTAAATTCTAAAACATTTTTTTATGTATTAGAAAAATAAATAATGAAGTTTGACGTATTTGTAGGTAAAAATTATTCCCTATTTAGTGCAAATGGGTATTAAAATGAGTAAAATAATCCATTCTGCCCGAACCAGTAAGGTCTTATGTAAACAATGCACGCGCCATTGGGCCAATGATTGACACCGCGTGATGAGACGTCACGTGTTGAAGGTAGTCATCTTTGACAGAGATATTAGAAGAATTTTGTAATCCTCTGTGGAACACATTGTGTCCTTGTTACAATGAATTGCGACATCAATTCATCAAACCCTACTTGTTACGAAAACGGAATATATTCAAATTAATTTAATTAAGTACGACTACAAAATGAAAACTACATTGTAACAATTAAATCTGTGAAAAAACGTAAAAAAATTCCGGAAACAAAAATTACCATCCGTATTTTTTTTTTTTTGCTGTAATTTACAGAAATTCCTTCAATTAACATAAATTCTATTTTCAAATACAGAAAAAAAAATACTGGTAACTTTTGTTTCCTGAGCGTGTGTGAAATAGCGTGTATTTAACGTCCGCTTCCACTGAGGTGTTATCCGCAACCTTTTTCCGCTAATAAAAGAATATTGAATATCTTATCCGAGAGACGAGCGCAAGGTGTAACAAACCGCTACCCGGCAGTGATTGGACCAGTTAGAGTCTTTCAGATGTAAGTTTGCGGTACTATCATTCTGCAGGTACATGTATATAAACGCTGCTTTAAAGACATACCGGCTTACATTGTCCAATGGGTTATACTATCCGGATTTAAGCGTGCTTGATTACCAGATAATAAATACAACCTATACATATGATACATATTTTTATACATTTATGAAAATACTTATTATCTGATTAACGTATGATGTTGTTGTTCTTAGTGTTTAACGTCCGCTTCCACCAAAGGTGATATCGCAGACAAGTTGTCTTTCTTCATTTTCATTATCTTAGCGCACGAGCAGGGGTCTTTCCTGTGGGAGGAACCTGAGTACCCGGATCGAAACCACAACCGCAAGTCAGAGGTGACCGGCCAGCTAGAGGTCAAAGCGTGACACTCTTGACCACTAGGGCATCGCAACCCCCCTAAAGTATGATGAATAACAATACACTTTATAGATCTTATTAATAATGGAAATTAGATATACATGACATGTAATATATCAAAATTTACAAACTATGATTCTTCATATTATGGTTAATAAATTGAAATGAATACTTTAACATGTTAATCATTAGGAATGATTATATATGTATACGATTACTTATCGTTGCATTTGCAAACAGAAATAATCCGTAAATTCCTGCTCATTCTACCGTCTATTCCGTAAAATAACAGAATTAAGTCCATTATAGAATAGAATGAAATATTTTATCCCTAAATTCACACTTTTAACATAATTCCCCCCCCCCCCGAAAAAAAAGCCACCGATTAACAGGAAAAAATTGTTAAACTACGGAATTCGACCACATAAAAAATGGATATTTTTTTTACAGTGTACGGAACATATCCAAATTTCTCAGTTCTGTGGATAAGAAAAGATCCACTGTATGAAATAATAAATAAATTTAATACAACACCTGATCTAACTAGAATGTAACCCCTCTTTGATTGGACTGTTTCATGGTCATTACTATGGTAATAATCTAGCTTATTTCCCCCATTTTAAGGGTATGTTAGATAATCAGAAAGAAAATCAGACTATGGAAGATTTTATGAAGTAAATATATTTACTGATTCTTTCTATCGTGTTTATATCTTTGTATCGTATTTAGGATATTAATTTAACACAATTTATTTACTTTCCATACATCTGTTGTCTGTTTGTTTTATGTTTCTATTTACTGGCCATGTATACAATAATATTGTGTTTGTGTGTATAATTGTAATGTTTGTATTTACTGGCCATGTATATACTGTTTTTGTATGTATGTAATTATAATGTTTGTGTATATATGTTATCTGAAGACTCGTCCACTCTACACAAACTAGGTCATTTCGGGACTAACATATGGTTCAATTTTATTTCAATAATTCGCTTGCGCGTAGGGAGGAAACCAGAGGACCCCGGAGAAAACCCACGAGTTTGGACAGGCGACCCTACTCCTTGTCACGTATAACCGGGGAATCGAAACCACGCCAGTTGACTCAGTGACAGACCTTATGAAACAACGCGAACACGCTAATCATTCGCCCCCCTCCCCCACACCCCACACCCCCACATGAGTCAGTAGACTTAAAGAAGAGAAGCAGAACGGTAGAACGTTAAACCCCATTTGATTTCATTTCAGACTTAGAGAAATAAAGAATTGAATTGAAAATTAAGGGTCATGCGCCTTTACAATTTAATTTAAATAAACTACATGTAAGTACAAAACATTATATTATATGATAAGTACATCGGGTATATCCCGTCCAAGTCAAGGCATACGGGACGTTGACACCATCCAGTATTAGCTACATTTTAGTTATGTGTCCAAATCACGACCTTGTGAATAATCCATAACAGTTCATGATTTTTCTGTTGTAATATTGGTATTTTTATTTCATGGGGAATATAAGAATGTTTCTACATTTGGTAAACATGTTCATATCATTTTCATATCATTTTCAGTAATCTCACCCCACCCGCACGCAACCATAATAATCCGCCATAAATAATATGTCTTTAATGGTCGTGTGAATAACTCAGTTTTAGTTTGGAATGCCACGAAAACTTCCAAAATACAACCAGAATTGTACTTTGTACTCTAGGCCGTGTTACATATCATGGTCGACACGTCATGCTATACCTTATTTACCTGAGGGAATTGATTTGTGTTATTATCGTCCTTTGTTGTGGAGACATCCAGAAACCATAAATAGTTGATTTTCGTATCCGGGATGTGTTGGAAACAATGGAACCATGGTATGTATTGTTGTAGAGTTCTTTAATGCTATAAAATAAATTCTGATCTAAAACAATTGATGACTAAAGAAAAAAAAAGAAGTCCACTGCATCAGGTGGTATTTCCCACAATCAAATACTTAAAGACACGGAGTTAATCATGTAGCGCGGCACTTTACAGTTTTTATTAAACTTGTAATCAGCTTTTTGTTTCCGTGATTTTTTGCCCATTAATCAAATAGACATAACATCGAAAAACTATTCAGAATAAGGAGATCGTGGCAAGAAGTGGGCCTGTCTTCATATAAAAGAATTCCTAAGACTAAATTGCGATTTATTTGTTTTCACGGTCAAGTGTACAATTCTAACGTGAACAAATTAGGCCCAGACAAGGTTCTTTTCAGCGCCATGTGGACCACTAGGCAGAGCTTTAATTGTGAGTTTGCATGGTCTAACAGGCTCGCCATGGCTGCAATATACGCTTATCTTGGTTCGATTCCAGTCTTGTTTGTGACAATGAGTATGGTAGTTTGCCTGCTCGAATACCCCAGTTTTCGCCTTATTTCTAAACACGTCTGTATACAAACATCTTATATTATTCCTGAAAAAAAAAACGTTGGTTCTCAGTGGGCGATAAAACTTACGTTATCTCCTCTCTCTCCTCTTGTCAACATATATAACATACATTTAAATATTTTCGCAAAAAGTAAAATACATTAGCAAAAATTGAATACATTTACAACAATTAAAATACGTTCACAATAAGTAAATTACATTTACAGTGTGCAACATTCATTTACAATAAATAAAACATTCATTTGTAAAAAATAACATGCATCTGCAACAATACATTCACAGTACAGTTAAAAACATTCACAGCAAAGTAAAATACATTTACAATTAGTAAAATACATTTACAATTAGTAAAATACATTTACAATTAGTAAAATACATTTACAATTAGTAAAATACATTTACAATTAGTAAAATAGATTCACACTCCGTAAATACATTCACAATACGCACAATACATTTACAATACATAAAAAACATTTACCATCAGTAAAATACATTTACAATCAGTATAATACATTCACAATACGTAAAATACATTTACAATACGTAAAATACATTTACAATAAATAAAATACATTTATAATCAGTATAATATTAAGTAAAATACATTTACAACAAGAAAAGTAATAAGTAACATACATTTACTATCAGTAACATTTAATTACAATCAGTAACAACAATTTACATTCCATGTCTGTTATTTGTAATGCCTGGTCTGAGTTATACAGGGAGGGTGACGATTCCTGGTCTGATCGAGGGACGATGTTCAGTGCACTCTATGCTGAGCAACATATAGATAATTTGATTGACAATTATCTCATCCGGACGTCCGGACATGTATCATAAATAATATTTAATAATTTATTCGACAGAATTACTCTTTGAAGTGGTCAACGGCCCTTGATTAAGTCAATAAATTATTTGGAGATTATTCACTTTAAAGTTTGTGGGAAATATGGAGAGCGACTCCCACTGAACGACGAACATAACGGTAACTCCGCCCACTATAATGTTTCTGAATGCGCGTGTAATTCACAGATGGCGACTATATAAAGAGATAACTGGCGTGACATATTGAAACAGGGAACCAACGATTGTTATAAAGATTCGTTAGTCGTCTGGAGAAAGATTTTAAGATTTAAAAAATGTTTCCACAACAGCAACTTCCACTCTGGTTACAGATTTTCATAGCGTGTAATTGTCTCTTCAAATGTGGAAACACCTTAAACCTGGACCCAAAGGTAATTTAAATTTAATTTTTGAAACTTTTTAATTTGCAGACATGAGTGAATGAATGTAGAGTCTGTCTTTATGGACAATTTCTTAATAAAACATATTTAAAACATAGTTTTATTGGAATGAAAATGGGGTTTGAATTGAGTATATGATTTTCATTTCAATTATTAGTCAAATATTTTTTGCAGTTGGCTTCGATATGTTGCTCGTACAGCGGCATTTCCCCCTACCCTTCATCAAATTGTAACTGTCAGGAGATCGTTTACGTGCACGCCATAGTATGTACAATGAACGCTGTATTTCATCTCTTCCGAACGACTGGACGCTGTGCCTGGATCACTACGCTCTCCACCAACACACAGATCGAACTCGGTTAGCTGGCCAGCGCTTTACTCCTGTTTTAGAAAAGGACTAGAATCGAATTTAAAGACTTTAGGAATTTCGAGAAAATTACATAATAATATTAAAATAAATAAATAAAAAAAAAAGTTTATTTATATGTGATAACGTATTAACGTTTCATCGACGCTATACTTCGCTCATTTAGAGACTAAACTACGGTAATTTATATTGCTATGGTTGCGTTTACAGGGAGAAGATTGCGCGGACACCGGCGACCCCGCTTACTTACATCCAATACCAATTTGATACCGGGCGCTCGGGTTTCGGCCCGATCGAACAGTTAACGAAGGATGACAAGCCAGTCTATGTAAAACGTATACAAGACTTCTATAAGTAATTGTCTTATACCATATAGCTCAGGTAATTCGGAGACGTCATTAAACCCACCATGTCCTTCAGAGGGAGCTGCAAAGGTCCCATGTTCGATCCCAGTGTTGGCCGAGACAGCTCATCGGAATTTTCCGGCATGCCCCCCCCCCCTCCCCTTGTCATTAGTGAAGAACGGATGCTCTTGCAAACGACAGAGTATAGTCGTTCGGATTGGACGAAAAACCCGATGTCGTTTGGGTGGGACAGGAAAACGAGATCCCGTGTACAGGTTTGCGTGCACAAAAACAAAAAAGAACGCCTTGAAGTTGGAAGAGAAGACGGCAAAGCCACAGTGCGGCGGGCAAAACTTCCCTCATAGCACATTGTATGGCGCATGCGCGGCATGTGAAGAGGCGCACGATGTTAATATTCGTTTTCTCTTTTAAAAATATATTTTGGGATATGATTATAATTTGTTTCTTTGTCAAAACAAACATGGTTTCCTATCGATATATGACAAACATTGATACTAATACACGACAAATTATTTAAGTCAATTTTTAACATCATAAAAATCTGTTTTCTGTTGAAAATCTGTTTTTTATAACATAAAGCGCTTTAATGTACATAAATTGATAAATGATTGATCCCGAGAGGGGAAGATACCACAACTTTATATTTGAGAAAAATGGTGTTAATCGTGCGTCATTCTTATTAATTACTAGATATGTTTCATATTGATGATCACAAATTGACATCAACAGATTTTGATACAAGACAAAGAGTATAATAATATCTAATTAAATGGGAAATCTGGTCTATATAGTTTGGAGAACTTTGATCTTGTGTACATGGCTCAGTGGTTTAATGAGTGTGATACATGTCTAGCAGGGCAATCAATGACCACAGTTGGACAGGTATCACTGACTCTTTTTGATCCGATAAGTTTGTAAATTACGTGGAGAGAAGCCACAAATTATTTCCACCATAGTATTGTATCCAGGAATGTTGGATTATTCTTGTTGAACGTTTTGGTCAGAATCGAAAAGGAAGGGTTGGATAGACATTTATGACAAGGTTTTGGCGAATATTGAAGGTTAAGAGGCCAATGGATGGCCGAGATAAGAGGGTTGTTATGGTGACAAGTATGGCAGATAGTTATAGTTACATGCTTTGGGGAGGGGGGGGGGGTGTACATTGTCCCACCTCTTTCCATTATATTATTCATTACAAATATCTAAATGGTTTCCAACCTGATTTTATTAATTACCCTTCCAACACGATAATCAATTAATACCATGATTTATTCACATTAATCTTCACTAGTAAGTGATGTATTTAATAAAAATAATTAACAAGATTTTCGTCTGAGGAAAAGACTTGTTGTGGTGTAACGAGAATAAAATTGAAATCTGATGTGGCCCTTCTCAATGTGGGAGGTTGGGTGGTCGAATGGTTAGTATGTGCGCGCTGTATCATAAAGCCTGTCATTGAGTCAACTGGCGTGGTTTCGAATCCCCGGTTGTACGTGACAAGGAGTAGGGTCGCCTGTCCAGCCTAGTGGGTTTTCTCCTGGTCCTCCGGTTTCCTACGACTGCTAAAGACCCCTACGTGCAAGCGAATCATTGAAATAAGATTAAACCATGTGTTAGTCCCGAAATGACCTTATTTGTGTCGAGTGGACGTTAAACCTCATTTCTCTCTCTCTCTCTCTCTCTCTCTCTCTCTATCCCATCCTTTAGTATGCTACTTTAAATTTGTGTAGCTCAGAAGTGTCAATGGTCAACCCCTATACAAGCTTTGGAGCAAGTGGGTGTTGGTTGTCTGCCTTAATTTCGAGGTAGTGTGGTTGTCATTTCGCCACACCAATGATTGTACCCGACAAAGGATCGGATCACCTCCACAGCAACGTTACATGGCCAATCACGACAATCTTACGACGCCAATCATCAGAATCACGACTATATCACATTACTAAAACAAAAACAAAAATAAATATGAGCAAATTGATCTAAATAATGTCAGTTTATTAAATCTTTTTTTTTTTATTTAAAAAAATACATATCTCCTAGTACTGCACCCGCGTATTGTTGTAATACAGATGTATCATATGTTAGGCCCAAAATGATCTGCTTACTGTAGAGTGGACGGTACCCCCACCCCCTCTCTACGGTACCCCCTCCCCACTCCCTCTCTAGACATCTTTAAAACAGTTATAAGAAGTACGCCAGTGATCATAAAAGTTATAGTGAGACAACTTCAATGATGTGTGAATCGACAAATCACAACACGCGAAAATAAAAAATGTATGACCACACTTCCAATCGTGCTGGCTGTTATCGCTACATTTTTATCGTTATTTACGGAAGAGTTTAATTAATGATTCATGATTACCTATCAATAATCGCTGGCCTTTTAGATTTTTATTGTTTGTGTTAGGTTCATAGATTGAAAACTGTACCGTTTATTAAGTGCGAGAACCTTCAACAGCTACCAATTGACAATAATAACCAAGGTAGCTGATATTTTATGTAAAGTTTCAAGAGAACATAATGTATATATTATTCTGCTACAACTGAGTCGCATTCTTATAGATTAAATGCAATCTCACTCACCACTGTCTTAATAAATAAATAATCATCTGAATCGCTTGTAACCAATAATGATTTTGATTCAAGAAAGTTCGTTGTCTATGCTTTAACACCAGCTGTCTTCTTGTGCTTTGTAAAAATGCGTGAAGTACGAGCTGGTAGTTTCGCTTTAGAATCAGAGCATTACGTTGAAAAATCACCAATTTCTTATAAATTTTTTATTTTCTTCTCTCATCCGTGCAATGCAATATTAACTCCAGGGCGTGTTTGGCAACCAGTGAACTTATCGGGAGAGAGAGAGCGAGAGCGAGGGAGAGAAGAGAGAGAGAGAGAGAGAAGAGAGGAAAGTTATGGTGTTTAACGTCCACTCGACACAGACTAGATCATTTCGGGACTAACACATAGTTCAATTTTATTTCAATAATCCGCTTGCGCGTAGAAGTCTTTAGCAGTGGGAGAAAACCGGAGAAACCTTGTCAAGTAAAACCTGCGAAACGAAACCACGCCAGTTGACTCAATGACAGACCTTATGATACAGCGGGCACGTGCTAACCATTTGCCCCCCCCCCTCTCAACCCCCAACCCCTTATCTGGAAAGAAAATAACATACATAAATTTAAAATTGTTTCTATCAAACACGGCCTAACCCAGATCATTAGATCGTGAGAGAATATGCCGTAAATCGTAACAAAGGCCATTAAAGGACAATGTTGGTGTCAGTCATTATTACATATGTGATAGAACTGGTTATTAAACAAGTTCTAAATTTGAATTTAACCCAGAGATCATTGCTACGGTAGATGTGTAGCGAACATTTGAAACAACCGGAAGTAATTGAAGTAACGAGCAATAATAGAAAAACGGTCGAATAATGACTGACACCAATATTGTCCTTTAAGGATACCTATTCATAAATTAGTTAGTGACCAGACGTATTTACTTTCTATTCTGTTTTAAAATTATGGCGGTTTTTAGCTCGCGGATCCTTCAGTGGACACAATTTTTATTAGATTTTAAAAACCGTTTAAATATATCAACGTTCCCCCATAATGAAGGTTGAGTTCGAAGTTTGGGAAAATTGAAACGAAACTGCCTGACAAAATGACAACGGCTAGTTTGTCACGAATCAATCTGATTACAACACAGATCCTATTTCGTTTCGTTTTTATAGTTCAAAATTTCGTTTTATTTGTCTTTACTACACTAGGAACTGGAAGATTTGTTATATTACCGGCGTTTTGGTTGAAGTGAGGGATTAGCCAATGAAACGGTCAAAAGCCTCTCGTATGACCTCTGACCCGACTTATGGCTACAACGGGTCAGATCTTCATGTAGTGTATGCCATTGAAAGTATAAAAAAACGAAACGAAATATAGATCTGTATTGTAATCAGATTGGTCAAGAACCGCTTGTGGCAACTCCTATTATCATCCCTAGCATGACAATCTGTTGATGTTTGAATGGCTCCTATTATCATCCCTAGCATGGCAATCTGTTGATGTTTGAATGGCTCCTATTATCATCCCTAGCATGGCAATCTGTTGATGTTTGAATGGCTCCTATTATCGTCCCTAGCATGACAATCTGTTGATGTTTGAATGGTTGAGGAGCGGCAACAACAACTTGTTCTTATTTCATAGAAAACGACCCAACCCCATTGAAGATAAATCATGGTCAATGTTTTAACTGTTTTAATTGGCAGT